ATCTACTAAAGTGCTGACGATGCTCTCTGTTGTCTGTACCTGCACTCGCTTTTGTATCTGGCTGTGCCACGCCACGCTTACTACCGAAACAAATGCACACAAACTAGTATTTAACAGCCAGACAGATGGTTGCTGCCATATTTATGAAATAAATATATGTAGCCTGTCTCCTAAAGAAATGACATGTTGAGTGCATTATATTTTTAAATGACTTTGAAGTTAGCATGGACGGTGAAATATTTTACTGAAGCATTTCTCTCTTTGTGTAAGCTCTGCTCAGGTAGCGGCTCTCTTTAAGATGTCACATTGTATTTATTGGAATAGTTTTCTTGTAGTGAATTTTAAGTGACTATTGTTGGATGTTATAACGTGTATTTTATTTTAGCTTATGTAAGAAGCAATTGCAATGTCAATTCCAAGTAAATATGCCCTCAGGTATCAAAGGCAACAAACCACCCTTTATTTAGATCTTTATGTAGATGTGATAAATGCAAACGCATCTAACCAGTTTAGCTTATTGTTAAATAAAAACGTTGACAGTTGAAATGCCAATATGCTAACTTGTTGATAGTTGGGTGAGGATGAATATCCCTCATGTCTGTACAGTAAAAATGTAGCAAGACGTTTCTTTAGCTTAACACTAAGACTGGAAACTGCTAACCTGACTGTCGAGAGCTAACGGCATCTCTTAAGATCCGTAATCAACGTATTTTTCTTGTTTATGAAATCCTTACAAAAGGGAAATGTAAAACACATTGTGGTTTCACAAGGGTTGTGTCAGACAATGCCTGTGTTCAAATCATTACCACTTTCTCTCCACTCACCATTTATGCTAGTACACTTGCCATTGCACATTTATACAGTGCATTTGGGTGACATAACACTGAGCATATTTTCCCCTATTAATAAATACTTTGTGGCCGTTGCTCTACGCTTCTCGCATAAAAACTCATTATCGGACCACAATAGATTTCTCTCTTGCACGTCTTCAGCGCAATGCATGATTCTTGTTTAATTAGTTCTTGATTTGTTGTACATTTTTACATTAAGTCCTATGTTATTATAATTCTCACTATACATTAAGATAACGCCACACTTGAGAACCCACTTTATAGTGGATTTAATAGTGAGTAGTTGCATTTTGAAGCCAGCCTGTTTCTCGGCCAAAGCAGTGACTTCCTGAAGTCTCAGCTGGTTGCCTGGCAACCTCAGTGACGACAAGACTGTTTCTCTGTACAAACTGAATGCAATGTGTTAAATTGTGAATATTGGAGGTGCTGGAAGTTGGGTTTTGTGATTTTATTTTACATTTTTACCCTGACAGAATCAGACTAGCTGCTTTAATTTATTAATGCTATGCTAAGCTAGAACGCGAATAAGCGTGTTTCTAAACATGGTAACTTAACCATTGGTCCATTAAACCATAAAGTATCAGTTTTAGCTCTGAAAAGCTGTCAGCTGAGAGGAGTAATCATTTACAAGATTCTCACAGAACTAATAAACTTTTCTTAGTATAGGAACACTAAATACAACTTGTATTAAAAAAAAAAAAAAAATCATCTTATCAAGCATTTTATGCTCGTAATGTACAGTATATGAAATGTATGTTGTCTGATTGCATGCCTTATTCTCTCTCTCCCCCCTGCTCCGGGTGTCTCTCTCTCCAGGCTTTCCTCTGAGGCCACAGGACTGGCAGCCAACTAGTACGACACTGCATCTGCACTAAATCTCACTTTTATATCATCGGCCACCACAAAACAGTCAATGCAACTACCCAACTTAAGAGTTTATATATTATGCTGCCTCTTTTGTCATTTGAAATCATGTCAACTGACACTGATTTGACCCACTCAGTTCAGTTCATTATTTATTTCATTTGTTTTGGTTTTAGTCAGAAGAATCGTACTAGGTTTTTAATTCCCTTTTTTGAGTCGAGTTGGAGGTTTTAATTATTTGTTATAAGACTAGTTTTTTTTAATGAATCCCTCGCTCTCTTCCCCCTTCTTTCTCTCGCCATCACAAAGGAGTGGAGTTGATCAACTCTGAATAGGCATATAGATTTAGTTGTGTACAGTCAGTTTTTTTTCTTTTAAAAGGAAGACAAAAAATAATAGCAAGACTGTTTTACTCTCCGTTTATATATACACGCCGCTCCCTTCTCTCACCCAGTTCCACAAAGTCTGTCTGTCCATTTTATGTCCACACTTCATTTAATTATACACAGCATTCTTCCCCTTTGTCACCTTTTCAAGTGCTTGTAACATGGATTAAAAAAACGTAGCTATACAATGCACTGTCACAAATTTGTATTTGGTTATAGTGAGAAAAGTTTTAACACTCATTAGTTCTCCAGATAATTTAAATTGTGTATTTCTACGCATGTCATCTCCTCTACATGTCATTCCTGTTTCCCCCCCTCTCCTCGTCCTGAGATCATATGTTGATATTTTGCTGGGATGGGATGTTTTTGGGGGATTTGGGCTTGGCACTGGGGTTCAGAAGCAGAGGGTTCTCCTCGCTTTTTTTGTAAAGACTGATGTATACTTAAAAAAAATGTTGGAATATTTGTTTTAAATGGATGAAATATTTTTTTTTAAACTACCAAAGGGGGATTAACTCCTGGACAATGACTACACTCTCTATTAGATGTGATGAGGATCTGGAACCAGACACAGAAAGGGTTGTGAGTTAACACTAGTTTCCTGCTCTTTGCTTTGCTCGAGTCAGACAATTATTTTATTTTTTATTTGCAGGAAAGAGACTTTTGTGCACGTTTTTGAGACTGTAGACCTGGGTGCCACAACATTGTTTAAAAAATACAGAAATAAAGATGTGAAATGCTCAAACCACCACTTGTCTTGAGTGTTTTGTCGCTGAAAGATACTGAACCCACAATTTGAGATTTTACAGGTTTGATTTTTATTTAAAACTGTTTCTTAAATATATTTATTGTACAGTTACAATAATATAAAAAGCAAACGTTTTTGTTCATACAGGGTTGTTTATATCGGCATGACGGAAAACAAGTACCTCCACAGTTCAGACACTAGAGGGCAGTAGTTTTGCTTTTTGGCAACATTTTCTCCTGCAGGAGGGTTTCTATCATTAAATCTTGGGGGCACAATATCTTAAAATCTCTTAAAACACCAGATTTAAAAAACGGAAGCTGCCAATTTTAGCTTATTGAGTTGGACCTGATCAGTCATGAGTTAATGGAACAGGCTGCAGTGCTGTTGTACAGTCAGATTGAACCACATGCATGCAAGAAGGCTTGTCAAGGGACACAAGTACATCAAAACATGAGTCGTATGTATCGCATTATCTGTTATGGAAGAGCCCTTGCACATAGGTAAAACAATTACCATCTTTTGGCCAAAATGCAGCTAGTGAGGACAATGTCAGAGTGCTAAAAATGGATAAACCATATATATATTGAGATTTTGAAACTTCCCCATTTGAAAATGCTATATTAGGGGAAGGCAGTAAGTCAAATTGGCCATATATTGCAGGTGTAAGTTAAAGGTAATTGTTCCATTTATGCCACACATACCTGTGGTTGTTGTGATTTATTCACTAAAACAATACTAGAATCAAAAAGGATGAGAAATTATGAAAAACTCCTAATCTCTTTTCTGTGCTGGTACACTGCAGACAGCGTGGCCACAAGTCAGGCAGAACTGAGTTGGAACAGACAACCATAAAAATAATCATATTTTCCAGTTATACTGAGATCTATTTTGGTGTTTTGTATCCCCGTCATCCATATGCCTCGAGTCTTAAAATGTCTGCCAGAAATCTGCAGTCTTTAGTTGCATCTTTTTCTCTGTGGATGGATCCAATATTTCATTATGACACGAGTCACAAACAGTGACCAATAGGCTCCCAGTACTTCATCACAAGCATGCTTTTCTGATGCTATATACACCCCTAGATGGCAAGAGGGTTTTGCATGTTAATACAGTAAACACTCAAATACTAATAAAGAAGCCCATCTGCCCTGAATGAGTTCAGCTGTGGTTCTTCTGACCTGTGACAGGACATACTGCACCAGAGCAGACATATTGCTTTTTCTTTGTTCACATGTGACTCTTTTATCTGTGTTTCGATGCTCGGACATGAACAGCAGCTACAGTACATTCTACTACCAAAAGCTTTCTGAGGTTCAAATAGAGTAGCGCCACCTAATTAGAAACATCAGCACCTTTAAATTATACAATCTCACATTTTTAAAATTTGTTCATTTTACAACATCACATATTTACATAGATATTAAAATACAGGAGTAAAAAACATAACATAACCCATGACGAAAAACATAAATAAAAAATGTAAACATAAATGAAAAATGTAAACATTGTTTTAAGAATGTCAATAAATTCACTGTAAAATAAGAATAACTTAGTCATTGCATAACGTGTTGAGAGGAAAGCAATATGACACGATCGTGAGGAAATCAGTACATTTCATGAAACAAGTGCAAGCAGCAACATCAGTGTATGTCCCAGTGACGTTGACAATATAAACATTAAAGATCATGACACCCTGATAGGATCTTATGATCATGTTCTCATTACATGGTGTGATATAACGTGACACATTTTCATGACGGAGAGAAAAATACAAACGGACATGGAAGATGAAAGAGACATAATCAGACCGTCGTGTGGATGGCTTCTTTGACTGAGGCCACTGCAGAGCTGATCCTGGGCCAGTTGCGCCATCAGCTCTGCTCGTGGCCCAAATCAGTTTCACACAACTCTGACGCATTTATCTCAAATTAAATAGGATTTTATGTTTTCACCCCCAAGGATATCAGGGTTTTGAGAACACTCACCAAGGGTTTGTTTGGTTTTCCTGCTTGTGGTGACGGAGATGCACCTTCATCTCCTGTCAATGAAATGTCCCTGATCATGACTCATGCATTTGAAGGTCTGTTAGAATAACAGAGACATTCTCAGGCCGGATCTGCAGGAGTTTGAGTTGGTTTAGGGGGATTTTCACTAGTTGGCTGGAGGTGGGGGTGGGGGTGGAGGTGGGGGTGGGGCTGGGGCTGGGGCTGGGGCTGGGGCTGGGTCAGCGCTGCCTGAATGATCCAGCTCTGCACTGTCACAGTCCGAGTCATCATACAGGGCCTGGTTTGAACAAAAAAACATCATTCATTAAAGGTCCCCTATTATACTGTTTTTCATCAATATATTATAGGTCTCAGATATATACAAAACATGTCTCTGAAGTGTTTGGCTCCAAATACCAAACAGATCGTGCATTGTAGCATCCCATAAACCCCAAAAGTGCTGATTCTCTGTCTGTTACTTTAGATGAAAATAAGGAGCCCCTCCCCACGCCCCTCTGCGAGATATATGGTTTAAAAGAACACAATGGTGCTCTAGGAGGAGATTCAGGTAATAAGGTGTGGGGGGGGGTTACCTTGGTTGGTGATTGGTTAATGGTTACACAAGCCAAAAAAGTCGTTATGACATCATAAAGTGGCCAAAATCTGATCAGCTCATTTTCAGACAGGTTTTAAAATAAATGGATCAGGACAAAAAGTGAGCAAATTTGTTCCCCTGAAATGTTCAGAATGTCTTTACACAGTTTATGTATAAAAGACATGAAAAAGTGGATTTTGCATAATAGGTGACCTTTAAGGTTGGAACAGCAAAACCTTTTTACTACTACTACCTTTTGGCTACAAAAGCCGATTCTGACCTATTGCCTTCCTCTTTATATCAGACTATATTGTGAATTCTCATTTTATTCACGCTTTGCAGCCTACCTCAAAATTATGATCATTACTAGCGAGCTGGGTCTTGACTTGGCGAAGAATAGCTTCTTTCTCAGACATTCCGTCGGAGCCCAGCTGGGTCGGGTCGGACGGGTCGGCGGGGATCTCTGAGCCCTGGGAGAGCAGGTCATCGCTCTTGTCGTCCAGACGCTCGTCGGTGTTGGTGCTGACCACGTCCGGTGTGCCGCTGTGGGAGTGGTCCGTGGTGTTCCCCTCCTCACCGTCCGACACCGACAAGTTCTCTGAGCTGAAGGTGGACAGGGACTGGCACTTGGTCATGCTCAGGGGACGCCTGGGTGGAGAAAATGTAGAAAAGAGTACATCAACATATATATTTTAATATAATTATAACAATACATTTAAAAGTATTTCAAACAAACAAATTATGGTGAACCAAAAACACTGACCAACAGCATATTTAAACCTTCTTCAGTAAAAATACTAAAAAGGAGGGTGTTAATGTTAAACAATCACATAAATGTAATTATATATATGGTAATATCTTAATCCTGTCTCTTAGGCTACATTTTCCATGACCTTATTGCTGAATATTTTACACTTGCATAATGTTTTTGCTAATTCACATACTATGTGTTACACAGGTTTCGTTGCTTATTCTTGCTTTAAAAATGTAATTTCTGATTTGTTTTAGGAAGAGTAACTTGTGAATTTTGTATGGAGGCACAGATGGAAATCTTAAAATAGTAGGTCTTCGATTATGACATTCAATGTGTTTAACAACTCTTACCGTCTCCTTGGCAACTCCACTTCACTGTCCACTTCTCCTTCCTCTTCCTCTGATGACACTCCACGTCTCTGTGGAGAAAATTAACCGCATGTATGAAACTCTGGTGTTTTCATGTTTCAATTCACATTTATCCCCCTCATTCTTGCTAATATTCCTGAGCCATCTGGTAGGATATGACCCTGATGACACCCTGGGTACAAACTGCACGGTGCCACTTTCAGTAAAGCCAAAGTGATTGACAGTTCTCGGGATGAATGAATCATCAATGTCTTTTACTACTTCTACATATTCATCACACATAATTAATTTGTGAAACATACAAACACCCTTAGCTTATGCATATTAAACCGGAAGTGGAATTAGCAACGGACAAATGCACAGGAAGCAATAATTAGCCACTTGAATGAAATCTTTGCATCCTATTTAGTGTTTTTTTTCAGTGTTATCTTTATTTGCAACATGGCATCTATAAAAGAAGAAAAAAGGATTGTAATAAATAAAGGCAAGATCATTATTTTGGCCGACTTGAGTCAAAATGTTTTTATATTATCTGGACTTTATCAGTGTCAGTCATCATAGCATAGCACCTCTAATGATGCTGATCTGTACCCGTGAAGCAGTCAAGAGACAATAAGAAAAGGGAAATGTTTTGTCTTATGTGGCAACAAATGAAATCAAAATGTCACCAATGCCTCTCACTGCTGATTCATCTTTGCCCCCTTAAAAAGATTCAGGGCTGGCTCACACTAAGACATCATTCTGTCTAACTGCATCCTCAGACTGCCTGCTCACCTGACTGCGTGTGACGGCTGCCCTGTAAAGCAGTGCCGCAGGAGTGAGGCGTTGACTTCTGGGTGAACGTATGATCACTGTCCCTTCTTCCTTTTCTTCACCCTCGTGCGAAACCCGGGGGTTCCCGAGCACGGACGCCCTCCCCGCCGCGGCCCCCCTGCCACATGGTGACTCGGGGCTACTGGAGAAAGGGATGGAAGCTGCATCCTCGCTGGGCGTGTCACTGCGTGGAGGGGTTCCTGCCAGGTCATCAGTCCCTAGACCCACATCCGGCCCCTCCTCAGTCCCTTCAGTCCTTCTGCTCTCCCCCAGCCCGGCTGAGGCGCTCTGGCTGCCCACTCTGTCCAGCCCCGTCCGGACCTGGCCCTTCCTCCGGTCCTCAGCCTCCATCGTGGTTGAAATGAGGTCCGGGCTTGAGGAGTACATCTTCTTGAGCAGCAGGTCATGCTGCAGCCCCCTGAGAGCTGCACTGGGGTCTAAGTGCTGCTTGCTGCTGGGCACAGATGAGGTGCAGTTGACCATAGCTAATGAAGAGGAGAGAGTGGCTTTCAGCTGAGCCAAGTCCCCGCTGCTGCCTTTCCCGGCCTTCCTGTAGCGGGGCTTTCCTCGCCGTGAGCGACCGGGCGAGGTGGAGCCCTTGTTGGGGATCGTAACCTGCGTCATGGAAGAGTCCAGTTTGGGGAGGATGACCTCTGACTTTAATAGGTCAGGCCTGAAAAGGACAGGAACAGAATAATACATTTAAAAGGGAGATCCAGATACATGGAAGGATAGGGGTGGTAGTATTCTGAATGTCTGTTATTGTTAAAACATTTCCTTAGTTATTACTTTCCATCTCACCCAACCTGTCTGTGGCCCCAAATCCCTACACTCCTACAAAATATGCAAATACTAAATACTTATGTAAAACAGCAGGGAACAGTAGTTTTTTGAAAACATGAATTAAATAGCGGTACAATGTGTGTTTGTTGACTTTTTAAACTGTGTAATTACTGCGTGGATTTCACACATTTGAATGTTGGGATTTAAATAGTTTCTGGACAATGAAGGTGTAGGGGCACAAAAGAATAATCAATGACCCACTTTGTATACAGACAGCAGGATCCATTTATTGTCTTGGGGTTAACATAATATTCAAGAGACACTTGATCAAACCAGCTAAATACTATGATGGCTTCAGAAACTCCCCGGTGTCTCACCTCTTGCTGTGTGAGGGCAGCTTCTGCGGTACGTTGCGTTTCTTCATGAGCTTCTCCATGGAGTTGGAGGAGGCCGACTGTCTGGAGCTCTGGTGCTTGAAGCAGCCCGGGTACTTCTTGTCTAGTGACTGCTCCCTCCTGATTCAAACACAAAGCCAATGCTTGTTAAATGGATGGCAATGGATACTCAGCATGGCATAATAATAATAGAGCACTTTGTTACATGCAGTGGCCCTGTGTGACTGGACGTAATGGCCCTTCACTGCACATTACAGATGACCTTTCCCAGCTCTTTCATTACAAAACACTGCTTAACCAAGTGGATAAAGCTATTCGTACAAATAATTTGAATATGAACAACCCTAGTTTTCCTATTGTGAAAAAATTACTACAGTATACTGCCATTGGTTTATGTGATTTCTAAACAATAACTTTGGCTATACTTAAGAAAGTGATCACAGTGCAACCTGACAAAACAATTTATTGTCCAGATAAGGAAAACTGATAGAGGCCTATAAACACTGATTTTTGTTATAACTATGTTTTGAGTATTTGAAAGCATTTTGTAGAGAATGGATTTACTTTGACATTAAAGGGTCAAAAGCCCCATTAAATTCAGTTTGATTCAATGCCCTGAAACAATAAAACCTCCAAGGGGGTGAATACATTTGATCGGCCCTATAAATTGATGGCAGTTTTCATACTTGTGCAGTTCTTTCTCTTTGATCTCCAGCTGCAGCATGATGGCGTTGAGCTCCATGTAGAGATTGTTGGCTCTCTCCAATTTCCTCTCGTAGTGCTCCCGGATGTCCAGGGCATGTCTGTGTGGAGAGGAAAATGGGGAGAAAGACTTTAATGCAAAGAAAACAGAAGTATGGAGTTTTAAATAGTTAGCTTTTGCTTATGACTTTGTAAGTGGTATAAATATCTCAACATCTGTATTCCTCGTTAGAAGTTCAACCTCTTTCTGTTTACTGTTATTCTTTTGCTAACCTGAGTTCTTCTCTGCGTCGTTTGATCAGCTCCTCGTCCAGCCTGTGAATACACGTCCCCTCAGACTTGATCTGCTCAAAGTGGTGCCTCACCTCGTCTCTCCACGCCACCTGGTGAAGCACATACACACATCCATCAGAGCAGGTATCGAATATAGCACTATCACAGGTACAAAAACACATAGAACGGTTCAGATGAATGTTAAACTACAACTTATATTACTGTTCACGCCACAAATGCTATGGTTAATATTTCTACTACCAGTTCTGTATTTACCATCACCATGTAGCTGCTTGGGGAAATACAGCAGGACACCAAGCAAGTACCTGCTTCATCTTAAACCTAGATCATTTATTTCTGCACATAAATAATGAGAATACATTTTATCGCACTCTCATCTAGTAAAAAAGCTCTTAATTTGCAGGGCGATTAAGGGTTTGTGTATCATTGATAACAAAACCATTAAGCTGTCAGATGATGATCAATACACAGGGAAACCGAACATGAACTGATGTGACATGAGCACCAAAAAGATGCAGTGTGAGCATCTTCTTGTACAAAGTAGAGCGTGACAGCTGTTATCTGATACCTGTCATATCAAAGGACAAAAGAAGTCTGATATACGAGCGTGCGCACGTACATGCGTGTGCCACATGTGTGTGCCACATGTGTGTGTTTCTGTCCGTGCATGACTGATGCTCTTCTTATTAAGCTAATGGACTCGTGTGCGCACTCTTCCATGTCTCCAGTCCCCTCTTTCTCCTCTCTCTTTGCTCTCTGCGCCCTACCATTAAAAGCAATCAATACACTCCAGCAGCAAATACTTCTTTCTAACGTCACAAGAAAAATCCATTATGGGACAGAGAGGAGAGAATCTGGGCAGGGTTGAAGCAGGGGGGGGAAGGGGCACAGGGAGAAATAAAGGATCAAAGATAAGTGGAGAGAGTGAAAGAGGTTTGTATTTTGCATCGTAAGATATAAAAAGCTGCTAGCAGGAAATTAAATCATATTCATTTTGTGTGTTTCTGTGCACCAGTGTGTCTAATGCTCGGGTTGTAAATGGATCTGAGGCTCTGCATGGCTGAGTAAAGACACATCTTCCACACAATTATACTTTGCTCTTGTCCTTCATTTGTTTGGGTTTGCATTGGTCCGACATATTTGTCATTAACTTCCCATCCCCCACCCTGTCAGAGACACACCCTCCTTCTACCTCACGGAGACCTTCACCAATCGTGCTTTCATATGATGGGAGGTCGAAAAAAGGCTTCACGTGTGACAAAGAACAAAGACCAAGATGCCCACAATATGATGTTGTGATTGAAAGGACAGGTGTTATTAGTGTGGTCCCGAGGGAAACAAAATGGTAGTTGTTTTACAGCAAAATGACTATTAGAGATATTGGCTGCTGTTGACAGGGGGTTGGCTATGATGAGAAGCGGAGCTCATGTGCACCTCATCTGATGTCTATTTATTTGGAAAGGAATACTGTGACCTGAGAAAATGAGTATCACGATTATATTTACCCTAAATTGTACAGCCTCTGAGATAGTAAAGAGCTGTTTTCTTCCATTTGCTATTTCTCTCTATTTTGTCTAAACAGCTACTGATACAAAAATAAAAAAATAAAAATGGCAAATTTCACTCGTCAATTGGACATCAAGTAGCTATTCAGTTGGGACTGTTGGAAGACATAAAAGAAGCTTACCTGAGTTTGGAAGTAGGTTTCTTGGGGAGTCGATAAGATATCTGCGGAAGCAATGTCCAGATGCAGGAGAATCTGTCGGAAGGAGGGCCTGTTTCTTGGCTTGCAGTTCCTGTGGACAATTTGGACAAATGTTTGGTCAGAAATGCAAGAAACATGTTATTTTCTTTCTTAAGAGAAAGAGTTACTTCTATTTGAAATGTATCTTCTCTTTTGCCTTTCCCAAATGACTTCAATCTTTCAGCCTTCTTAAAACTCCAAACTTCCCCCCCCATCTCTCTTTTGCCTCCTCCCTCCTCCTCCTGCCGCCCCACTCACCAGCATTGCCTGAGGAGCAGTTTGAAGCTTTCTGGACAGCTATCCGGTACAGGCAGATGGAGACTGTTGTTGCCCACTCCCCAGATGATAGCGGAGGAGTCCACGTCCTTATAGGGCACCTCTCCTGTCAGCATCTCCCACAGCACCACGCCAAATGACCTGCACAGAGATGGGGAACATTTACTTTCAGACACATTGATAAAAGATGGGAAGTGAACTATAAGGAAGCGTGACTGAAATGTCACACTTAACTTTGTAAAAAGAAATCTGCAGATTCAGATTTGATAAGAACTGCTACATTTGATGGATAATGTATCAGTGTAAGAAAATGTGTTAGCTTATTTATAATTTTTCATCAGTGTGGTATGAAAAGGTTTGGCACTGATAACAGTTTTGTACCACTGGAATAATGGTCAATTGCTTAACAGCTTCACTGGTATTAGCCAAAATAACAGGTTATTCTCAGTTCAAAGTAGTTGGTCAAATATAGTATTTGGTGTCAAATGTATTTAAATATAATGCTTGATTTTACTACAGTTCTGTGTTGTTCATTGATGAGCTTCATTTCTACCTCACTTCGCTCAGAGAGGGGGAAGGAAGCTGGCCCAATGGGACGGTAACCAAGGAAAGTCTGTTGCTGGTGACTCCCTGAGTTGCCATGGTGACAGTATCCAAGGTGCCATTAGCATCACACGCAGCATTGAGGAGATGTGTGAGGTTGTGTTTACATGTGTATTTTTAGAGTCTCTCCATCTCCTAGTTTATGATTCATGATATCAATGCACAAGAAGAGACACTTGATTTCAAGGCATTGCATGAAATGGTTTCACCATCTGGTTAAATATGATCCGTTAGTTAGATGATTTATTTCTACACAGCGCAATGTCATTCAGTAAAGTAATTAATTGACAATTTGTCAATTCAGTCTCAAAGTAGCAACACAAATATTTAATAATAAGCCATTGCATAAAAAAGTGATGCAGTGGACTTAAAATACAGTATATATATATATATATGCACTCCACGTCTGTGTTCATCTGAAACACTTTTCTGTCAGTGGCTCTGAGATGAAAGACCTGGGGACCCTTTTGGAAATCTTTTCATTTCACCTAAACAACACGTGAAAATTAATACTTCATGAAACTGGCTTCCTCCTTTTCTAGATATTGTGCCTTAAACATTGTCTAGATAATCAGGGGTTGGGGTGGTAAGCCTGCCTCACTTTAATACTGCCATCATTTCCATAGATTTTGTTTATATGAAAATTATAATAAAAAGATGATAAAAAAAATATGGAAAATAAAAAGCACCACATTTTGTTTTGTTGTCAGTTTTTACCTATTTAAATTGCTATGGAAATAATTTGGTTTAATCATTTGATCCACAGGCCTACTGACTACATAACCAAGTGAAACTAATTTTTTGTTTTGATATAATTATTTTACATAGTACAATGCAGCGTTTGACTGAAGCCAGTGAGGGTGCAATTGTGTCGACATTTGTCCCTGAGAAACAGTATCTACCATTTTCTTATGATGTTGTTTCTTTGGGTGATTTATAATTAATTATGCCAGTACCATATACAGGCTTGAGATTATAGCATTGTGTCTTCTTTTAATCTTTTGATTAAGGATTGTTTATCTTTCTATTAATTGTGTGTTCATGTGTTTGTTAGCAGGTTGCTGAATTCACTTAGCCTTGCAGGGGCAAATATAGTTGGCTTGCATTTTATTGAATCAAAGATAAGAAAGGTTTAATTGTGTTATGTTAGTTTTTATCGCCATCAAATGTGATTATGTTAAATTCTACCTGTGGCTATCTTAGTCCTTATATGATATATTCAGACGTAGTAACAGACGGAGCATGAGTTGTACCAGATGTCAAATAATGTTAGAACCAAACTGAATACATACAACATACGTCTTTCCCACATCTTTCTCTGACTCACTCTTTTCATGGCATGTACTTCTAAAGCATTTACATAAGTTTAAACAAAACCGTACAGTATACACTCATGCTTGGCTTTCTTTCCACACGAAAAGCTTTTTAATCCTATTTTCACTCTCCTGCTAATGCACTGCTGGCCCTGGGCCAAACCATCCGCAGGCTTGGAAGGTTATTGCAGCCTCTCCTGAGCACTGCAGCATCTGGCAAATCAATTATTAAATTAGCCAGCGTTCCTTTCAGGACGGAGAGGAAGAGTGATGGAGGGATGTAGGGAGAGAGAGGGGGAGAATGTACTGGGGGAGATCAGGGTTTTACACAGGGCAACCCATCAGATGTGGCTGAGGCCATATAGAATTTCATGTAATGAGATATTGTACATAATACTCAATAGATTTTCTGGAAATACGATCCTGCTCTCTGTACTGTAGTAGGCTGTCCCTAATGAGATTTTATGTTGATTCTATGACAGATAAGACAAATCATAAGGGCAAATTGCAGAGGTTCACCAGTGCAAGAGGACTGTGTAAAAGGGTTATGACACCTACCAAATATCCACTTTCTCTGAGACGGGTTCGTTGCGTATGACCTCAGGAGCCATCCAGGCCACCGTACCGGCAAAGGACATCTTGGTGCTCTTGTCACTGAGCTCCTTGGACGTGCCGAAATCAGAGATCTTCACAGAGTCATCATAAGTGATCAGCATGCTGGAAGGAAACATTAGAAGTCAAGTCAGTTCATTCATTGAAATCAAAAATGTTAACTTAAAGTGGACCTATCATGCTATATTTAAATGATATATTGTAGGGCCATACCTATATAAGGTATATTTATACGTTTCTGTTTTCAAAATACCAAACAGATCATGCATTTTAGCCATGCCTCATTTCGCTCTATTTGCTGTTCTCCAGCCCTGTTTTTGCAGGGGGCTGATTCTGTGAGCTGCAGCTGACCACGCCCCCCTGCAGGAGAGGGGAGCCGCTCTGATCAAGTCAGAAGAGGGGGAGAAAAAGAGATCTCCGTCCTCCGTGTTTTATTATAGCATATTATTATATAGAGTCGTTATTCATTTGTTTTAAAGCTCAATAAATAACAAAGAAGACCTTCGACCGGCACTTTTCTAATTTTGTCCGGAAGATTTAAACTTTAACGGACATCTTGACCGGCGAAACAAACTGAAACTGAAACTCTGCCGCACGGTCCCCTCGTTCCTTGGAAGAGGCGGAGAGGTGGGTGTTTGTCATCTGCTGGTGGACTAACCGGAGAGAATTACAGTGCTTGCCTCGACGGGGAGGGATTGCATTGAATTAAAGCAGCGGGAGCAAACGCTTGCCTCGGGGAGGGAGAAAAAAAGCCACAGCGGAGAATAAACAGAAGGGTAACCATGGTAACCATGCGCGGGAAGTCTTCTTCGCTGCTTTTGTGGCAGACTACAGCGCCACTTACAGGCCTGGCATATGTACTACAGCGTCTCCAGCGCTTTCGAGCGGCAATGGCCGGCCGTGGCCCAACCCCACATTCCCCTGATAGGTGGAGAGTTGGCCCAATAGCCGTAGCGCCACCGTCCTGACGTCAGGACAGTGCTCAAATCTGGATCAGTTTTTATCAGATCCGTTGCAGCCCCTTTTTTAGAGATTTGGGTATGGAGGAAAATAGAGAGGGTTGTGTTTTCTGACACTTGGTGAGTTCCCTGGAACACCGGGGACACATATTCATGTATAAAAGACGTACAAAAGTGCATTTTGCATGATAGGTCCCCTTTAATGTAAAATAATTGTTTGCTTTATTATTTACAGTTGAATTACAGAGCTGTAACCACATGATTACTTTTCACCAGGTCTATAAAACTCACTTTGGTGACTTGAGGTCTCTGTGGATGATCTTGTGGAGGTGAAGATAGTTCATGCCCCCAGCGATGCCCATGGCCCAGTCCATGAGCAGGGAGGGATGGATCTTCCTGCCTGCTCTCAGCACCTCGTACAACTGGCCCTGGGCACAGTACTCCATGATGATGCAGTAACATGGAGCCTGGGTACAAATACCTCTGCGAGTGTAGAGAAGCATGTACAGTTTGTTAAGACAAAACATATTAGACTTGCTTGATAGTGATTAATTGGAAACGTGTAACTTTAAAGTTATTTGGGGTATTTTAATGTGTTTTCTATTAACTGATTATTTCGACTAACTTGAAAGTGATAATGTTGGGATGTTTGAGCTTGCGCAGGTTCTTGATGTCGGTCTCTTTGATGTTCCGCACTTTCTTTACAGCCACTTCCTGTCCGTACAGTTTTCCCAGAAAGACGGCACCCTGGGCTCCACTGCCAACCCACTGCAGGTCAGAAATCTCCTCGAATGGGATCTCCCATGCCTCTGAGATAGGGGGAAAAGATGGAGGCAAAGCAGTTAGTGAGTTTGTTGGTGTAGTAACATGTCTAATATGGAAAGGGAACAGAGCAACAACTGTTATATTAACCTGCTGGGATTACAGGTTATTTTCCTCTGCAAAGTCATATTCTGCATCAATCTTGTCATTTCGATCTCATCAAGAAAATAAATATCCCTTATACTAAAATAAAAAACTATTATTTTAAATTGTCAACATGGATAAAATGAAGACAAAACAAGCTCATGTTTTGTTTAGTTGTTACATACATACAAAATCTGTACCACAAACTAGAACAATGAAATCAAGACTGAAAAGCCCCAAAGTCTGTCTGTAAAACTAAAGCTAGTAGCAAGAAGCACACCACAGAGAGAGTGGATGAGTTAGACTTGTAACAGTAAAACCAGCTGTAAGCCGAGTTGATATATTTTTCGGTTGTTGAACCTCACCTTAACCTAAGACTCAGGGTGTGCAGGCAGACCGAGAGGGAGCTCTAATCTCCTGTGGGTAATTCTCCCTCAGCCTGCTAAATCCTGCTTAGTGCCATTGTGGGGCCGACGCAAAACAGGGGTCCAACGCTCAGGAGGGGGGGGAGGATTTGAAAGCCTAATGTGGATGTACGCTGAATAGGAAGGTGGAGGGGATGGTGGAGGTAGCTCTGTTTGTGTGTGTGTGTGTGTGTTAGGAGAAAAAAGGGAGGGGGATTCCCCACGGGTGGACGGGGGTCCATGTGGCCGAAGACAGACGGTTAATACAGAGAAAATATACAGCCTGCTTTGCTGCTGTTCCTGACTCCGGACGATTAAGATACATTTATCATATTAATGAGGATGGCATGAATGATTAATGCTATCCAGTGATAGATTGAGTCTCTAATGAGCCTCTCATATGTCTCACAGTAAAGACATAACACCATATCTTACACATCAGAAGATGCCAGATCTGAGGACATTTAGTACCAAAAACCCCACAGTCCTTGAGAATCAATAAAGGACGGATGATTTTCCTGCTTTCAATTGTGCTACATTGTGCCTTCTAATCAAAGCTTAAGAATAGGGCATTGTGATACGGTAGGCAGGCATTCAGTTGCAGTACCCCTATTTATGTCACTTTTATAATAACCGTTTTGCTCTGGTTGCTCAGCGTGTGTGACTCCCTGTGAAGCTGCACAGAGGAGGGGAGCAGCGAGGTGCAGATGGGCTGGGAGTGATAACAGCACCGGATAAAAAGGAGACAATGAGAGATGGAAGGAGGAGGGGAGTGTAGGGGAGATGTGGAAGTCAAGCTGGTGATAAAATATCAGAAGGCTCTAAAGACAAGGAGACATATACAACTGCCACCTTCAAGCCTGCTGTATTTATTCTACTAAGTTTGTTTTTGGCCTCTTATCTGACTTTCTGTCGGATATTAAAATGTTATTTTTGTGGACGTGTGCGTGCAGTCTCACATCAGTGTGTGTGTGTGTGTGTGTGTGTGTGTGTGTGTGTGTGTGTGTGTGTGTGTGTGTGTGTGTGAGCGTGTGTGTGTGTGTGTGTGTGTGTGAGCGTGTGAGTGAGCGTGTGAGTGTGTGTGTGCGTGTGTCAGGCTTGCGTTAATAGAGATGAGAGGCACAGGGTCAGAGCGTGGCCATGCATAATTCATGGAGCAGATTTGGCAGAGGAGTCCCGGGGGAGCTCTGCGCTATTGTAGTGGATGCAGACATAAACAACACCGCGTCACAGGGAGCTAGTTTGATTGGGGGGTGGTAGTGTGGAGAAGGGGGGGTGGGCATAAGCACGGGATGGGGGGAAATATCAGGGGAAAATAAGCCCTTTGCAGCTTTGATAGAGTCTCTCTCGTGCTTCAGCTCTTACACGTCAAGGAAAGTGTTTGTTTACAACATGGCCTTTGTGGGAGTCATTTCTCTACCAACTGGTTCATGTAATTAAACCGGGGGATAAGATCCTTTAATTAGCATATCAAAGCTCCACACGGGAATTTAATGGGAGCTGCTGCTTGCTTTTATTAGAAAAGTATAACAACCATTATTATCAGTGTTTGTGTGTTTCTATTCAAATGGATTTGACTTACCATCCAGGCCGTGTTTGTGCTCTGTGGAGTATGCTTTGCCGATCATAGTCCAGACAGGCCGCAGACACCCAAACAACCCTTCTAGAAACCCTCCGGTAGACTGGCACTGTAGCCTGGCAACACCGGCCTGGTTCCTGACCGCACTGCCCTCCATCTCCTGGCCCTCTCCCTCCGTCCTTCCTGGACTCCTGTCATGCTCGTGGAGCTTCAGCACGCTGTTGGCAAAGTGCTCCTGTTGTTCCTCGCCTGGTGTCTGGTTGTGGCCCGTGCTCTGGCCCTCTCCCCCTCCACCCTCGGGCTCTACGGCTCTTCCGGTGTCCATAGATAGGACGTTACGAATGACACACTGGGTCGGGGTAAGGTCCATTTCTGGGGTGCAGGGTGTTTCGGCATCGAAGCGACAATAGGATGGAGGATCAGAGAGGGGTGTGTTGAAGCCGGAGAGAGAAGGAGAGGGAGCACGAGATTCGTGAAGAAGCGCCATGACGGCTTAGGTCACAAGAAGAACAAAATAACTGGGAGCCTAACATAGAGAGAGGAAAAGGGAGAAAAGGGGGGGGGGGGAATTGTTATAAACAAAATAAAAGTAAACATCCTATTTTTACTCCCTGGCAGCCATAAAAGCAGATTCAGCTAAGTATTGAGTTGGTCACCTCTGGAAGGTATTTATTTGGCCTCCTGTAAGAAGGACCTTCAATGATAATACATTGTGAGTTGAATAGGAACTCAATGTAGTTATGTACCCCCACTGAACTCCGTAGCACTGAACAAAGCGGGATGACAAGAAGCCACACCTCCCTGAAGCTGTGATCAATATCAAATAAATGCACATTTATAGTTCCTATACCCTTTTTGTTTTGTTGTATCACCCAGAAAGTTATTTGCAGCTTTTTATAAAGAACATGTAAGAGTCAGGAAGACAACAGTGAACAACACACAGTAAACTATTCATCATCAGCATAGATGAGTAATATCATGAAGCAAATATCACACATATTTAGTCGTAAAAAGAAGTAACAATCAAAAGTGACATTAAATTGCCTTTTTTTAAATTAAAAAAGGGTGAAAATGAGAGTACAGTGGTTGTCAGGGCATGTGCCCAATAATCAGAGCAATGATATTAACTTATGAGTCATGATGTCTGAAATCTGAGGGTATCAAATCAATAGTGTGAAACATGATTCAGGACATGTGGATAAAAGACGAAAAAGCAGCCTGTCTGGATCATGAATCAGAGAAAGCCTTAGTTCAGCACTACACTTGATGAAGTGCACAGCAAATCATTTAAAACCCCCTCTTTAACTTGGCAACCTTATAGGTGCTGCAGCATTGCAGTATTGCAGTATCTCAATTAGGTAATTTCCTTACACATTACAGAATATGACAGTATGAATTGCTTTAGGTTTTTCATGTTCATGATTTACAAACGTAGTGCCGTAAAGGTAGAATGGGGCCTCAGCTGGTTATTTACATCCTGGAGCAACATCACTGGTGTATTAAAATGGATGAGATCAAATGACGCCTGTATAATAACGAGAGAGCTCTGCAAGCCTCTTCAAAGCTTGTCATTTCTCCAAGGACAAAAGCATATACACGCTCAGTGGAGAATGAAAACGCATTATTTCTTGTTAGGGCCTTTTTAAGTGATCCACTCCTCCTCTGCTTTCACTGACAAGCACGAACTAGAGGTGACAAGCTTAACCTGCTTTGTAAAATAATGAAACAATTCAAAACCTTTATCAGTATCATCATTCTTTTGTACGGCATATTACAAAAAAATATATATATTAGTTTTTTATGAACATTTTTAACATGAAACTGGATCAGTTTCCATGTTTTCATCTAGTCGTTGTGAGGAGTATCTTACATTTGCTTTCCATGTCTTATGCCAGTTTGAATGTGAATATGAGTTAAATTACCAAGCCTAAATGTATTAACATGCCATTAAGACTATTATATTGACCACCCATAATGGGACATTTAGTCTCACAATTACCCTGAAATCTAATTTATCAGCCATCATCCCTGAATCTACGACCTTCATCTGTACATAAGCATCAATTATTCATAGTATATGGAAAGATAAATCATGTATAGTCCAAAACAAGACGGACAGAGCCTGTAGTACGCGGCATCAACCATAAAGCTCAAAGTCATTATAATTTTCTACGGAGGGGAAAAAACGGAACCACTGAGACACATCTGGTGTCTGAAATCTGGAATAATCATTCACATCCGACTGATCCAGTCAGCTAATAGTCCTGCTCCGGCTCTCACTTGATTTATTTTGAGGTATCAGCTGCGGAGCTTGAAGGAGGCTACGCTCTGTTACAGGCCGGTGCATTGTGGATGTGTGTTGTGCGCATCATCGCTTCTCCACGCACCCCCTGCTGCGGTGCACCAGTGGAGCATTATTGACAGGCAAACACGCAATTCCAGTTTAAACTAGAATAATAAAAAAGCACAGTATGTATTATTTCGAGATTATAACATGGTGCAGATGACCTCCATTCTCCTTGTACCTGTTTATCACGCCGACTGCCAATGTACAACCAAAAAACGTGTCCTACCTCAGTGCCGACAGCTGAAGTCCATCGCTGGAGAATGCAAACGCGTATTCCAATTGAAAGATTAAGTCTAATAACAATCACGAAATATGTCTCCCTTTCTCGGGTTTTGTCAGCATCTACGCTCACTCCTCCTCCTTCTCCGTGCATCCACCGAGATTTCTCCGCCCTGGATGACTGGAAACGAGCGTCTTCTGCTGCGTCTATCCCAGTGAGCGGTAAACACAGCTCCGCTCCCCTAGGTTCGCTTGTTTTCCTGCTGCTTTCCCTCCTCCTCCTTTTCCGTTCTCCTCTGAGGATGTGATCTGCGCACACTCGAGGAATTTATACGGCCTATCTCACCTATAGTAAACACGACCGTGGAGGAGAGGAGGATGGGAGGGATGCAGTGTTGGTGTCCTCCTATCAGGGATCAAATGTGCTGTGACGGGCTCAGTCCGGAGAGACGCGGGACAACCGCAGGTAAAGGGGTTTAAGAGCGACTGAGGCTCTTAGGCAGGGAGGTAGGGGGTCAGCCGGTGAGTGAGGTGATCAAAATGATGTCATCCACAAAGCATGCAGCATTTGACTGGACAGCCCCATGTAAATCCCTTCAAACCCTATTAACGCCGTCTGTATCGAGTGTAATTGGTGCATAATCTGTGAGCACTATGTCCCGTCTGCCACAGAGGGGACATGAAGGAAGGACGTTTTTTATTATTATCTTCTCCAATCTCTACTGACCCATTTATCTCAGATAGGGAGAGTGGGACAGCACAGGGCCTAAATGGGACTTTCCCCAGGCGTGATTTGTTTCCCTCAGCGACTTCAATTAACCTGAATGGAATAAAATATCACTCTCGTTTTAAACAACTGTCATCACAAATCTCATTTTGTGTTTGAAAATACCCCAAGGTCTTCAAGGGTTCCTATTATATTATAAATGTGTTATTCCCAGGCCTAGCATTTCTGCCATCATAAATGAATGAAAAAAGTTGTTATTATGGTGGCATGCATTAAACTCTGCACACACATGCTGTACAAGAAACCCCAACATCAAAGCTAGTCTATAATAAGGTCCCAAAATAAGAGAAATCACAACAACATTCTAAACATGTATGTCTACAACAAAATTCATAAATAACTGCCTTATACTATAGTGATATATAAGAAGAAATACATATTGATTTAACAATTATTGCCATCTTGTCCAGGCTTTTAAGATGGAGAACAAACGTCAAACCTCAACACTAACTCCAATCTTGTAATATTTACTTAACCATTTCACATGAAATAGACATGAAATCATCATATTAAGTCTAAAAAAATGTACGATACAACATAACATGCGACTCACTTTTGCACAAATCACAGCGCTCACACAATAAATCAGGGAAATCCTGTATGAATGGATGCCAGGGTGACTCTGCAGGCCAACTGGGACATCGTGAAATCACTGTAAACACTGGAAAATCTTCCAGTAGTCAAACTATTTGGCTGACAGAGGAAGATGTTAGTTTTTGTAACAGCTGGGGATCCCATGTCTGAGCTGTGTATTTACTGTCCCACTCTAGATGGTTGTAGCTGCATGACCCTTTTTGAGTGCTAAATCTAAATCCAGCCCTTATCTCCCAGATTAAGCTCGTGTTGGGTTTAAACCCCAACGATGACCTCATCGTTCTGCCAGCAGGCAGTGGGGGGAAACCCTACCTACTGCTAGGCCAACCATGTGAGACTAACCAAGTATTCAAAGCCCCCCCCCTGTTCTTCTCTCTGCAGACATTTATGCAATTCAGATGAATAAAAGATCATACACTTGCCGAGTTTGATACCTCCACTGAAATTACAGTTTGGAACATTTCAATTCCTTTATTCATTTGTCATCCAGTCACTCTGTACCTTCTGCATCCATATAAAGCACTACTACTACATTTTGTGTTTTGTGTTTCTCTCTGTGGAGTGTACTCAGGTTTTTTTATTACTCTACAATTTGATTCCTAACAAGGGGAAACAGAGAGCAACAGCAACATAATCAATTATATGTGTGTAATTAAATGTTTAACTTTTTTATAACATATTTTAAAACCCATCTCAATTCCTGCATTTAAAATAAAAATGTCGACAGCAGATTTGGTGCGTCTATTTTAATTTAACAATCTAACATTATCTTCCAGTTCCTAAATGAATATTCAAAGATCCCTAGCCAAAAATGTTGTTTATGAATGTTTAATGCTAGTTTTAATATCACATGAAATAGAAATGGTGGGCAAAAAGAATCGGCGGCTTTAATCATTTTTTCTATTTTATGTCTCCTGTATCTAGAATTCAGTCTTAAGGCAGTCTGATGGACTAGCACACCCTCTGTTCTATTTCTATCTTTTTCTTAAAACTTTCTTCATGATTTATTTATCGCTGCTTGTAGTTCCAGGATGGCTCCTCGTCAGGGATGTTCAGTCCTGAGGGTCCGCGCTGCCTCTGATGTCCACCAACACAGCTTCTGCTTCTGCTGTGGTTAATCCGTCAGAAACAAGCTCCGAATAAACGCCGCAGGGTATAACTCCTTATCAGATAAAAAAAAAACTCAAATCTACAGAGTGACAGCTTCGGAAAAAATATATTCATTGGCACTACCATCGCATTTTAAAGATTGCAGTGAATTCAGAATGAGCTAAGTGCCTTTTCCTGTCTGGTTACATACTAGCTGCATACATGCAAAGACCATCTTCTATTTTAGGAGAAAATGTGCACAATTAAAAAGCTTTATTGGACAACTGAAGGAATGCCTGTACAACACTTGGTGGTAGTCAATCGAATGGCTGATGTAAAATGCTGCATTATTTGGCAACATGCCTTATAATCTGTAGCAGGGATTTACCCAAAGCCTGCAGTGAAGGCTGTCAACAGGAATGCCGCCATGTGTGTATACATGCCTATGACTGTGAGCATACAGTATGTTGTGAGAGGTCTGGTGCCAAATGGTCACAGATTGTCTCAGTTCGGTTAAGGGGGAAGGTAGAGGTGTGTGTGTATGCATGTGTGTGTGGGGTAGGGAATGAGGGGGAGGGCAGCTATACTGGCTCTTTGGAGAGCCTATTTATGGATCCTCATCGAGAGCCCTTCGTGTTACTCATTGTCACTCTTACTTACACGCGACTGAATAGGTGGCCAATCATAAAATCCACTCAACTCTGTAAAACTCTAAACTCTAAAGGGAACGTGAACAAAAAAAAAAAAGATAATTGGCAATCTGTTCCAACATCATGTTGACGGAAATCCAAAAGCAGAATACCAGCCATTCTTTCAGATTTCTGAAGAAAGAAGACGGCATACTGTCTCTAGTTTTTGGTTTGCAAATGTAATTCTGTGTGAACATACACTATGGATTGAGTCCTTCCTGTCTGTCTGGGGAAGCTCATATTGGAGGGTATTGTCATCCATCAGGTTGCACCCACTGATGGGATTCATTAAGATTGGCGCCAACCAGTATTGGAGGGCGGGTCAAAAGGGGGTTGGTGGGTGGAGGATTCTCCATTTCAACAGGATGATCTCACCTCCTGTCTGCAGCTCAGGAAGAAGACTTTTCATTCATAAAGTTCCTCCACGTGTGCGTGTTCAGGCACATGCACACACATGCACACACATGCACACCAACATATCTCCCAGCGGGACGTTGAGGATACAGTTGAGCCAATGAGGCGCAGGTGAGATCATGTCGGGCTCAGAGGTTCCTCTTTCCGTTTCAGAAGTCTATAGAGGAGGTTTGACGCCTTTCAATATTCGACCTTGCCTGCATTACAGCATTTTGGAGCGGAAAGAAGACGTGACTTAAAACTAGATCAAAGGTAAACAATTGTTTGCATCTACTCTAGTCATATACTGCATGTGTTGTGCACACATACTTATTATAATTACAAACCACAATATAATATGTTATTAATATCCAAATGTATATGGTGAACATCAGCATCCACATCTAGCAAATATGTAATATAATAAATGTTTATTTAGAGTAGTAAGTCTTGCCACCGGTCAAATATTCACTCTTATTTTAGCTCTGTTTTGGTCTCCTCCAAAAAAAGGCTCTTTATCTGCTCGATAGACATTGATGACAGTGGCCAGGGTTGACCAAACTAGTAAAGTTGTGGACCAGAAAACCAAAAGCTTAAAAGTCAATATGTGATTCACCGTAACATTTTGACTATTGCCACTCTTCACTCTCTTGCTCACAGTTACAAGATGTGTCCCAGACAACTGCAGTACCATATTGACTCATTCCGTCATGCTCTAAAATATGCAAATCCAACATTTAGATCAAGCGCTGCTTTGATCTTCCAGGGAGATTAGCAATGTGTCTGATTTCCCTTTGAAACCTCGGAGAGGCGAGCAGCCAGCCAGGCAGCCTGCTGTGGAGAGCCTCTGGCAGCGGCCGGTCAGGAGAGGGTTAATCACAATAAAGGGGAGGTTGGAGAAGCCTTCCTGAAAGTCACATGGTCTGTGCCGGGAAGCAGTGGTGGAGCAGCGGAGGGAGGGATGGAGGGAGGGGAGGGGAGGTGGGGACGAGCCGGAGGAGGAGTCTGGAGCGCGTTGCCGTAGAAACAGGATCCTCAGTTGGCCGGTGTAAAGTCAGGAGCGTCATATTAGGCGGTGACTGCAGTTAGATGCTGCTGGTGGTGTGAGGTGGGTGGATGGGAGGGGAAGGGGAGGGGAAGGGGAGGGGAGGGGAAGGGGAGGGGAGGGGAGCTTGCGAGGGGGTGACTCACACCGAAGGACGCACTCTGCATTCTAATGGATCGACCCATATGTGAACACACACACACACATACACACACACAAACACGCACCTTTATTGGTTACATCACATACTGTCCCCTACCCATTTCTTTCCACTATATATCTACTACTGTACAAACGGCTCAGCATCATCCTGCACCACTCTACTTTCACAACATATCATTAATTCATTATGTCAATGGGAGAACCATTAGTGTTTGTCTTGATGGCTTCACTTGCATGCTTGATAAAGGGCATCTATTAGGGGGAAACTAAATGCTAAGACAGGCTAGTAAACTATAGCCGTGTAATTGGTGACGGTATAATTGCACAGCACACGTACCAATTAAAGCGATAATATGTGTAAACCGTGCTCAAAATTATCATTGGATTAACTACACTTCCCAAATGCCCTTGAGTGTAGAGGATCACCAGCTGTTACAGGGGAAGAGTTCATAATTATGCGTACGATTTTTTTTAGGCTGTTGTTTTGCGGGTCTTTGCTTTTGACTGCAGGGACATCAGTTCGTATGTCATTAGATCTGTTTTGGGGAAGTAGTACATATTTATGAACTTTTTTCTCTCAGGGTGTGGGACAAGAAAGAAGAAGCTCTACATAAATATTTTCCCACATGCACAAATGGGCACAAATCCAAACAATTAAAAATGTTGTGATGCCTCAGGGTCAACAAAGCGATTCATTACAATAACAAACTTGGCATTGAGAATAAGACTACCAAAATGTGTAAACCCCCTGTTTATGGATCATCCTAATTGATGTGATGCATACATGTTTTACTTCACCTGACAATAGAAGTAACAGAGGCTGGAATTGTTTTGTTAATTTTATGGTCATTAAATATTAATGTCAACGTGAAAGCATATACATTTATAACATCCCATGTTTATATATTTTTTTTTTCACTTCAAACTATTGACTCAATAATTTGTGTAAAAACACAACCAATATTTAGTGTTGAGAAGTTAATGTAATGCTTAAACAAAAGTATATCAGAGGCTTGGAATATTATTTAAATATATAATCTATTGTTGTTTTGTATATGTTTCCTCACAAAATGAATTCCCATAATTGCCAATACCTGACGGAAGTGTAAGATGTAGGGGGGATGCAATGATTCATTTGAAGTCAGAGAAGATCAAATTCAACTCAAGAGATAACACGGGCACGTTCAAGAAAGTCTGGATGCTTTTTCTGCTTTGCTTTGATAATCTAACAATCTAAGCTACCTCTGGATTTGAGTTTGTCATGTGTATTAACTATGATTACATGACTTCTATATGTTTACCTGGAGAACAATGTAAAATCTATGTGTTGCTCTGCTCTAGATATATGGGTTATTTGATGTTTTTAATAATGTATACAACATCTAGAGGATCAATGATATGGGGTGAGGAGGTAGGAAGAGAAACGTAAAATTATGATTTGTAAGCATGGTAAATGGAAATGTAAAAATGCGTTTTCCATAGCATAATAGTCATACTGTTTTTCAGTTGACTATTTCATCCACAGCCAGGACAACATACTGTCAGCCATTCGAAGCAGCCACTGCAGTGTTATAACTCAGGGGAATGTGACGTACACTTGGCCGATAGCAAATAATTGACTTTTTGATTGACACTGCTTTGCTCTTCCTTTTAAAAGGAAAGCCGGGGCAGGTTCATTTCCCATAATCACAGCGTGTAAAACTGGAAGCAGCAGGAAGAATCACAGGCAGTGTGACGTTTCCTCGGTCACCACCCACAGCTGTATCTCATCGTTTAGGTCAAGCCAATGGGGGGCAGGCTGGTCCGCCATGAAAGAGGCTGGCTGATGAACATTATTTTCAGGCTTTGTTTATTTCAGTTTGCCTGTGACCATGACTCATTCAATTTTTGGGAAAAAGGGGTGGCTATAGTACCCCCTTGGGCAAAACAAAATATAAACTTGATATCTCCTGAATCTCAAGAGCAGATAAACCAGAAAGTAATGTTTCGGTCTATTTTATTTCTTTGAAGGATTGTAACACGCCTGAAGACACAAGACAGATATTTTCAAAAGGAAAAATAACAAAACAGTACATCTATGTTTAATTGAATGATATTAGTTACATATACTTAAAGTTATTTGCAGATAAGTTGCACTTCATTGTGCAAAACGTGAAATTGTTATGATTCAATAGTTAATTGAGTTTGTACCCAATATCATATTGAGTGGTCTTGACACAATGTTTTTTCTTCGTGTGACCCTTCAAATTTATCTCTGCTTTATCTTCCCACGTTTGTTTCTCACTTTTCCTCCCTGTTGTTACACGTGTCTGTTCTCTTCGGCAGCTGTAGATGTCCACTAATGTTTTCAACACACGTCACTTGGTAAAGATGCGCTATAAGCTTTTCCTCATTTGCCTAATTTATTCACAATAATAGAAGGAAGCGGCATTGTTTTTCAAAATCTGTATTCTGGGGGAATACCAGTCACTAATTATACAGAGTTATGCTAATTACCCACTTGACTGGATCAAATATTACTTGTAATAAGGGTCATTAATTCAGCTGCAGAAAAGAGGCCAATTATAATTTGTTGCAAAACTGTGATGGATGTGATGACACATTTAGAATAAGACATGCATGACATGCTCTCAAAACCAACTATATAAAGACATTTCCATTGTGCAGCATTACAAGGAGAATCCAGCCTGTTGTTTCAGTGCAGTGCGCTGTCCATGGTGCTGATCAGGGCTATACAGCCTAATGGAAAATGCAGAAAGCATCGGATGTATTTACTCTATTAATAGTAATAATGACAAGTTCAAATGGTAAAGTGGATTTTAAAGTATTGTATTTAATCACTCTGAAACAAATAAACAAATGTGTTGTATGTGGTCTAAATGAACTGCTTTAGAACAAACTGCAAAAAATATATATGATCTCAATAGATAATTTTGTCATTGACTATGTTAACGTTTGTTTTGTTTACCAATGGAAACTGTAGATGAAACAACCTTTTGTTTCCCTACTGGCACATTTGAGCTTGGACAACTTGTGAAGTAGTGTGGCCTTCAGACAAATCTTTTAAAAACCACAAACCTTCCAAACTAAGAAAATCGAAGGCGAGATGTCGGGTTATAGGAAGAAGCAGATGGACTGTCTTTCTCAAGAGAAAAGCTACACCTTCCCCCTTATAAGGAACATTGAAAACCTCCCTCAAATCAATTGTTATTGATTTAATTAAGCTAAAATAAAGGGTCGTCAACGTGCCTGGAGAGCTGGTGATATGTGACCAAGGCAGAGCAGTTCAGATGAGTGAACGACCTTCAGCGCCACCTGCCTGTTGGTACTTTACCTACATCCAAAAGAAATGAAGGCTACTACGATGAGATTACTGATTCAAATCGCGTGGCATTGAAAGACTCCCCATTGTCCCGAAAGATAGAATTTAGACCTCTAAAACTCATAGTATCTGCCTGTGCATTATTTCTGGCTGACACAATATCAGACTGATGCATTCACTGAACAGGATTCAAAGCATCGCCGGGATGAATCATTCCCTGCAGGAAACAGATTCCGCATTAATAATTGTAACAGTAAAAACCTACCGTTAGCAGGCTCGATGTTGTTCAATGCAGCGACAACCCGGGCTGTTTTTCTCCAGTCTGTCGGTTGTCCAAACGAGAAAAACCCTGAATGCCTCTCTTTAGCCTGACTACTACAAGGGTCCCATCTGGCTAATTACCTTGTCAATAAACCTTGAAGGAAATACCGCGAGAACGAGAGTTGGGGGCGAGAGCTGAGAATGACCATCCTTCACCCAATTCAAACATCCACAATGCATTCACTTGAGCCATTATAATTAAATTCAGGCTTTAACAACCATATAAGTACAATATTAATAAAGGTTTTAAAGCTTAACTTTGACACATGCCCTCAATATTATATATATATACAAAGAAGCATTGTCTGCCTGTATGGCTTAATAATCACCGTTTATGTCTTTTACAATCAGAATGGAAAATTGACATTGTTACAAGCATGCGTACAAAAATAAAAGTAATTGTGTGCAAATACAAACAAATGTTCTGTTAAAACACAATTATTGCCACAGTGAATTTGATGGTCTTGGGCAGTTTCAGGACTTATACAGACTATGTATTTCTCTTTGAAGAAATCCATAGAATTATAATATATAAAGATTAAACAAAAAAACACAATACAGATTCAGTTTACAAGGGATCATTTACACATAGAACAATAACAGAACACATTTTCATTTTGTAAAGCATACAGTAAAGAAGTTTCACATATTTCTCAACATCCTTGAGGAAAACAAATCAAAAGTATTTTTTTAATTGTTGCATTATATTTATTAATAAAACAATTTGCCAACATCATTATCACATTTATTATAAAACAGTAAAATCCTTTATTTATTGTTTTTAAAGAAACAAAATAATACATTTCCCCATACTTCCCCATGAAGTGTTTAAATATATGACGAATGACATATCTGCAAAGGTCTTGCCCTGAGTGGGAGAGATGTGTTTCTTTGCCTTCAGCGTCCTCTGCTGTCAGCATTCAGAATTACTGTGATTCAGTGAGTCAAATATTCCAGTTTGCATTAACATCTCTTTCATAGGTAACATATATTTATTTAGCTCATTTAAATCCACAGGTAACTTTGGGATAATAATATGTGAAAAGAATATTCTGGCTATGGTAAGAACAACCAACAAACAGACAGACCAAAAACGGTTTTCTGCGGTTCACAAAACAGGCGCACCATATCCGGTCCGTCTGCTTAATGTGTCCGTCACCAGCACGTTTCGTGTGAAGTTTAAATGTGGTGTATTCATAGGATAGCACTTAACCTAAAAATAAATACGTGTCAAATAAACTTAACCAAACCAGCTAGTGTTTTACAACTGCTACATTCACAAGCTAGCTGCCGTTGTTTACTGTCTGTGGACGTGAAAGCACCACGATACATGTCCAGTCAGCCGAAGAGACTCCGCACTGCAAACATGCCCGCTGTTAAGATCGGAACCCACAATGGCAGCTTTCATTGTGATGAAGTCCTGGCCTGTTTCATCCTCCGGCAGCTACCCGAGTACAAGGTAGGCTTCTGCTGCAACAGTGCATTATATGATCGATGCATGTATTTATCCTCTAACTGCTGTTGTTCGTGTGTTATTGTTAACCTTACTTAATGTACACAATGTTGATAACACTTATTTTAAATATTAATCTTCAGTCTGCATTGGCTGGTTTCTAGAGATGTTTTTATTTGTGACACGTCCCATGTCATTTCTTAACACCCCAATTGGTGGTGCTGCAGCACAGATAGATGGAGCTCTAAGCGTTGACAATGGACCTGTGATAAAACTAGTGTAGTCAGTCATAGCCTATAGTGTACTTTTTGGGAGAAAATACCCAGCAAAAAGTCTTAAAACGTAATAAAACACCTTCCAAACTCTACTGACATGTTCCTACATTCACCTTTGTGGGGTATAGTGACTTCTAAAAGTAACTCGTGTTGTAACTATAACTATAACAACACATAGAAGCAAATTAGCCAATTTAGCAAAAATCTGGTTAACCCTTATTTATCTGGCAAACTCCCTGACCCAAATGTAAACAAAGCTGCATACAAAACTTCAGACACAATAGGAATGGCTGTGTTAACCATTTGTCACAGGAAATAACACATATATTTTTTATATAAAGATAAATATTATGTGTTTGTTGATTCAATGTGTATTATTTACCGGTGACTAGTGATTTATTCCATTCTAATTGAATTATTGTTGAACTCTGCCACAGATCTGTTTCCAGTGGGTTAAACACTTACCATTTTAGTAATAATTCACAGTCTTGGTAGAATTCATTTAAATTCATTTTTCCGCTGGATTAAAAAGGTGTGGGATGCTCAAATGATGCCTAGACATACCAATCAAGATATTATTGCATTCATGTGGGATAGATTTAATATGTAGATATTGCAGACCTAAAAAAACATTCTATTTATTTAACAGGATGCCGAGATAATACGCACAAGGGACCCGAAACAGCTGGCAGAGTGTGACATCGTTGTCGACGTGGGAGGAGAGTTCGACCCAAAGAAGCATCGCTATGACCATCATCAGAGGTACGACTGTAGCAGTATGCTGCTGCGAAGAGATTACGTTTATTAAGTGTTTGAAAAAAAAGTTTTAACTTTAAATGAACATGTAGTCTAGTGTTGTGCACTTGAGGAGTACTTCATGTAATTATCTTTACTTAAATAAAAATTGTTATATACATATGAATAATTGATTAAGTAAGCCATTCTTATCATGTTGAGAAGAATCGTTTTTTTCTGTGATGCAAATACTACCGAAGCAATGCAAAATGTGCCTCTCTCATGTCGGCCACTTTGACATGTCACAGCTGCGAAGCACAGGGGTAACTAATATCATTAACGCAGGCTTGTTCCATTTCGATGCACCAGTAAGCCACGTCATGAGCCAGCCACCATAATTAATCTAATTAATTACACCTATTATTTCCCTGCTTTAAGAAATTATAGTGTTATAGTGAGTAAAAGAGAAATCGTCTTGGTTTGTTTGGGAGGTGTTATTGGGAAATATTAGTTTAATTCAGATATTGAAACAATGGATAATGGATATGTTCTTTTGTTGCAGCTCCATAATTAACTTGTATAAAGGTGGATAAGTAACTGATTGCCATATACATTTTAAAACCATACATTATCAATGCATAGTTCATCCACTAGAGAGCTGAGACATTCAACTGAAAATGTGCATGTCTTGCTAACATTTAAAAAATATAGAGGTGTGTTAAATAGGTATTGATGCACGCACAGCCATCACAGGTCTGACAGGAAGTTGTATGTCATGTCTCCTTGAACTCAACAAAGGGAAATCCAACTAGATTTCACACCTGTTGCTTATTTTTGTTGTCTTAAAACAAAGTGTAATGAATCGCATCCTATTCATCTTGGGTCCAAGTAAGAGACTATATTTACCTGTGGCTCTGTTCTTACATTACTAAAGTACCCTATCTGCATGGATCATGTAGTAACACGCTCTGCTACATTTCCTGCCAAAGTTCCTTCCAAATGATTGCATTCACTCAAAGTCTCATCACGTTGAGTAATCAGCCTTCTGCAGATGTCTTGTCAGCTTATTGCCCTGGTGATAATCAGAGTTATGACCACGGTGATAAAGATATGCCAGGACTCTCTTCCTGGCAGGTGGTTAGTGATAATTAGCGCTCCTTCAATTGAACGCCCCCCCCGCTGCTGGTGCACGAGGCACAGAGGCTGTCTCTCTGTTGGGAGCCTCAGGAGGATGTGGCTGTCACTCACATGTGGGGATGGGGGAGATGGTTCTGATGGCAGGGATGGGTGTAGTTTATTTTAGAGTAGTGACAGTGCACAGATGTAGTTGACAGCGTTATCAATACATCCCAGGGAAAACTGTGGTTGATATTAAACCATTAAATACGTAGGTTTTTTTCGAGAGCTAGATAAGATGAGTGATAGCACTCTCTTCCCTGTCTCTGAAATATGGACATACTCTCTGCTACATCGGCCATAACTGTACGCAACATGAGACTAACATGTCACTGAAAGTTGCCACGCCCCCTGCAGTTACCATGGAAATTAGAGTCAGAGACCTAAACCTTTTTATATATATGACTTTTGAAAGACCATGATTACAATGAATTCTAAGGAGCAGCTTGTTAGCTAAATGGTTACAGCACGTGCCATATAACTTGATCTGTTGTTGCATGTCACTCCCCCTCTCTCTCCCTCACCCCCCTGCATGTCTACACTGTCCTCTGCCCAATAAAGTGAACATTGAAGCCTTAAGATAAAAATAACATTATTTAACTTTTTATTTTCAAAACTAATGTAAGGAACTCCTGCAGATATAGAATACATTTACTGTTGAAGGTTCGCTTTACAGGTTAGAAAATGGCTGTGAATAGAGTGCCACAGTGACGTGTCCTAAAACCCGGAAGAAAGCTGCTTCCGGTTCCCTCTGTGGTTGACACACATTTAAGAGACTGATCACGTTTTGTCTGATAATCTCCACATGTCTACCCTACTTTTATAATTTTCGAATCATAAATCTAATCGATAGATTTATGATCGATAGATTTATGATTCGAAAATGATAAAAGTAGGGTAGACGTGTGGAGATGATCCTCTACAAACTGACTGAAGGTTGACAGAAGCACAACAGATCAGATCTGCCAGGGATTATTTTTGCTCACACTAGAAATGCTCCAACTGCTTCCACTTAATTTCAGCAAAGACATGAAAGCAAACAAATATATTTGTGTCTATGGGGATGCAGTATTTAATGTGGTCGGCATTTGTCAGCAGAAGAGAAATGTCCCGTATAAACAGATTTTAGGTTTTTGTATTGTGACATAGTTTAGGTTGCTTCCACATAGAAAAAGTATTGTACACAGCAAGCTTTCTCTCCTCTGTATTCACCAACAATCTATAATGCAAGATAATGTAGCCACAATTCATTCAATTTGATCAACATTTAAGTTTTCTGTTGGGATCAAAGCATCTGATAAAGCGTACGGTTTGTAACAATAATTACATTCTTGTATGTTTGTCTGACTCAACATGTGTACACAATTCAAATGAATAAAGGCACTGATGCTCTAATGTTTATTTATTGGATAGTATAAGTTAATATTGAAAGGTTATCCAATCTTACCAGAATAATTGCCCCAGAAAGGTAAAGGCAGAAATGAGACCGAGACCTGTTTCTGAAGTGCTCCTCTGAAGGGAATTAGTTTTCTCTAAAGTACAGAAGGTCACCGTGAGGTCTAAACTAATTATAAAGAAACATTCCCCGACATCTGCCTCTCAAAGGATGACATGAGTAATCGCATTTAAAATTCATCATTTTTTTAGCGATGTAATATTATTTTTTGTCCATAATATGTATTTCCTAAGCACAGGGGAAATCGATTGTTTGCAGATGAGTCAGTAATTGATAGGATACAGTTCAAGGGGTCAACAATTGTTTACAACAAAAGGAAAAGCCTGAGTAGTCAGAGGAGCAGACGATGGCTGAAATGAAAGAACTAAAGCCCAGCTAAGGTCATTATAACAGAAGCAGTGAAGGCAGGCGGCAGACATACAGATTGTACAGAGATTGAGCGAGGCAGAGAGCGTGTGCAGCGGTCTGCTTGCGCACAGAGCAGGAGTTTGTGAGAGAGGGCTTGAGAGTCAATTTCTCTTCAAAATATGATTGATTGCCAGCCTCCCTTGTCCCTGGCTGGTTTGCTAGCTCGTTGGTAACGTAACTGATTTCTTCTAATGTGCCTGCATCTGGCGCGGAGTTGCCATATTCCTTTTGTGAGCTCTTTTTGTTCGTGAACCACTTCCTGTTATCCATTGTTGCAGATGAATATAAATGATAATAGTCAAACTAACCTAGCAAGAGTAAACTGACAGGCTGCTGTGCCGCATCTCACTTAAAAAAAAAACACTTAAAAAAAAAAAAAAACACACACGACTCAACCCAGCGAAAAACCAGTCTCGCGTGCTGACTTTCATTCAGAATTTCATAGCAAAATAAAATAAATGATATTAAACTAATCTTTCAACATAGTTTAATACACAAATAAATATGAGGACAAAGCCCTACAAATAACAACAACAATAAACATAATAATAAAAAAATGTAAATGTTTTATTCAGCTCTGATTGAAACAGCGGGCCCAAATCCTGGATGGGCCCGCCCATGACGCCGGGTCTGAGTGAAGTAAAGTTGAAACATATTTTTGTGACACTTTGAGAAGTTGACTTGGAAACCCACACTGTGTCTGTGAAATCTGTCTCTCTGCAAAACACATTTCCGTCATTTCTAGGGACTACTCGGATTAGAGTAATGGGAACTTACTGACCACTAATATTCTTTTCATAAAGATCTTGAATCTTTGAGTTTCTTTTGATACTTTAAGTAGGGGAACAGCTTCATTTTGTGCAGTCAATAGTATGCTGTAAAGCCATCATGTGCAGTGATTTAGGCATTAGCATAAAGAAGTGGTGCAGCTGGTGCACTGTGGGACTTGTAATACATTGTTTAAACAAAGCTAACTAAATTCTCTTCATATTCCAGTATTGGTTCTATGTTTGACTTGAATCACCTTGTTTCAGTTCTGTATGGCAAATATCAGTCTGCCACCCATTCATTTCACACAAACAGTCTGAAGGCTTCTCATTGGTGCTGGTTACCTTGTTCAGCCTTTCTGGTTTCACTCTGTCATTTTCCTCGTGCTCATTTACTCCAATCTCCTGATAATCAGCATTGAAATGCCTCAGCTTGGCCAATTAGTGCTTTAATGGCTGTGATTACCCCCTGCTTCCCTAGCATGTCACTCATTCATCCGACAGACTGTTTTCCGCTGTGCCGCAGCCCAAGCATCCTAATTAAGCCTAAATTAAATGACCTACAGTAGCTGGGTGCTGGAGTCCTCCCATCTCAGCACGTGGCTGAGAGAGAGCTCCGGTGGCTTCTATTCATGTGCTGACGCTCACAAACTCTCTGAAGCTGAGGGGAATGTTTATGGATGCAAGTGGCTTTCATTGATATACATCACATAATGTGCAGCATACATCTGGATTCAGCATTTCCTTGAAGAGACAAGTTATTGGGAGGAGTCTGTTTATGAGCAGAACACCAAAAAGTCTATATACATGTAAATAGAATATGATATGTACAAGAACAGAATATGAAATTAAATAATGTACATTAAGACCAAATTAAATATGGTTTATTGCGGTGATAACTATTTATATAAATGAGTAGATTGCAAGATGACAAACAGGAATGTTTATCGGGGCACTTAACAGCATTGGCTGACACATAGGGCATCTGTTTGTGTACTGTGAAAGCTATTGGCATTATTTTTATAATGACCTTTGTCACCTACTGTGAAATTAATATTGTCTTGGCGTCTAAAGGCCATCTCTCTTCCGCCTGCAGTGGGTTCACATAGTGTCTCCCTCTCTTCAGGACCTTTGCAGAGAGCTTCCACAGCCTGCGCCCGGAGAAGCCGTGGGTGACCAAGCTGAGCTCAGCAGGCCTGGTCTACCTGCACTTCGGCCGTCAGCTGCTGACCCATCTGACGCAGCTGAAGGAGGGCGACAGGCAGCTGGACGTGCTCTTTGACAAGGTGAGAGGAGGAGGGGGGGGGGGCGGATTCAAAGCAGGCGGTGGATTAGTAACCTCTTGAGTTTTATTCACAGCACAATGCTCCATTTAAAGCTCACCTGTTATGCAAAATCCACTTTTTCCTTTCTTTTATACATAAACATGTGTCCCCTCTGTGTAAAGACATTCTGAAAATTTCAGGAAAAAAGATTCTCTCTCTTTTTGTCCTGATCCATTTATATAAAAACCCGTCTGAAAATGAGCTGATCAGATTTAAGCCACTTTATGATGTCATAACGTTGTTTTGGCTTGTGTAACCATTAGCCAATAACCAACCAAGGTAACCCCCCCCCCCCCACCTTATCACCTGAATCTCCTCCTAGAGCACCATTGTGTTCTTTTTAACCAAATATCTCTCAGAGGGGCGTGGGGAGGGGCTCCTTATTTTCATCTAAAGTAACAGACACAGAATCAGCACTTTTGAAACAGAGGGGTTTATGGGATGCTGCAATGCGTGATCTGTTTGGTATTTGGAGCCAACACTTCAGAGACATGTTTTGTATATATCTGAGACCTATAATATATTGATGAAAAACAGTATAATAGGAGACCTTTAAAAACTGATTTTTTTTCTTCGTCTCACTCGTATCCAAAACACATGGATTGAGCTCCAACACCGTTCATTTTAAAAACAGTTGGAGGACGGAAGAACAGAAACATCTAATAAATGAGAAGAAAGCTAGATTATTAGTTACTATTTTAAAATGTGTGAATTATTGTCTTTGTTCATGTTGTCCTTGTTGGTTGTTTTAAAATCATAAACCATGCAGTCACTGTGGACTACACCATGCATAATGTTTAAGTTTAGTTTATGACGTTTTGCCTTCAATTCTACAGTTGTCAGTAGATTGTGTTTATAAATAGAGTGCGACAGGGATGTTTCAGATTCTGACTGATTCAAGCAGGATTTTAGCACAGTGAATATTAAATGATACATTAAGCTAGCCAAATCTTAGGTCAACCATGACTTTTAGCTCTATTAACTCATCTGTCAGTTGGTTTTAAGCCCCAAATAATCCTTTTACTCACAGCAGTGGCTTTACTTATTTTTAGGATGTTGCTTCCATCATCCTCAGGCAAAATCTCTATCTTTGACCCAAAACGTAGTTCCACTTGTAAGCCACTTGTAAAATGTCAACTGTTTGGTGATTGACCTTCCAATGTACCAACGAGTTGACTTTTCCAACCTCAATATGTCTCTGCTGCGTTGTTACTTCTTCTCTCGCTTTGTCAATGGACTTTCTAATAGCAGCAATTTGGCTTTTCATTTTGGTTTTATGTCCAAACTGTGCGCTCTAGGCCTCAGTAACTGCCCACACACTGTGACCAAATTGATTTCAATCAGAATAATGTAAACCCTCTCCTGAAAGTCCTTTCATAACTTCCCTGGCTTTAAAAAGGGATTTTCTCTCTGGCTTTCTAAAGTTAGCATGAACATAAAACATCAGATTCCCATGTTGTTGCCATGCAGTATTCGCTCGTCACAGAATCCTAACCTCTCCTGTCATGTGTCTCTTTCAATTCCTCGCAGCTGTATGAGAACTTTGTGGAGGAGGTGGATGCTATTGACAACGGTATTTCACAATATGACGGGGAGGCCCTGTACGCGGTCTCCACCACGCTGAGCGCACGCGTCGGCCACCTGAACCCACGCTGGAACAGCAAGAGTCAAGACACAGAGGTGAAGGGCTGACGAGTGCCGTTCTCATGCCACACGTTATTATACATCTTTTAAACCAAAGGTCACAGATTATGCGTGGGTTTGTATCTGTTATTTTTTAATTGCCTGGGTTTCTACAGCATGCCTCATAGACACTTTGGGAATTACTGTGGGTAAATTACTATATCTGTTGTAGTAAAAACACACAAGAAACACAGCATGACAGTGCTATACACACACGTTTCCATTAGTCAAGCTACAAGATGCACTGAATCCAAGGAATAATGTGAAATTGGAAAACAAATTACATGCAGATTGTTTCCCCAAACAATTGTTTTAACAAAAAAAAACCTCTCCATCCATATCTCTGGTCCGGACTGGGTATATTTAGCATTTTTGCTTGATAAAATACAATCATAAACTTATCAAAGTAGTTTCTAATATATCTTTCATTCAATTGAATAATAATCGCATTGCCTCATCGATTGAGCCCTTGTAGCTGATGACTCAATCATCCCGGTACTGAACTCCATGAACTCATTTTTGTTGGCTTTTGGCTACATTATTAAATGACAATCACACAAAATGGACAGCCTGCAGTAAAACTAAAATACAGGAACTATGTTGTGGTGAACAGAACAGGTGCAATGCTGTGCAATCGGTGTTCGGAGGTCATTTCCAGATCCGTGCAGAAACAACGTAGGCTCACACAAATGGCCTGGGGGGGTTTCTGTCTCATTAGTGCAGGAGGGGAATGCCTGCGGGAAAACGCTACCTGTTTTTCTGCATGATAAGCCTGGCTTTGCATATATGCCGAACAATTTATTTCCATCGTTGCGTGGGGTTGTCTCAGTGGAGAGGCTGGCCTGTTCGTTTTGGTTTTTTCACATTTCAGTTCACATGATTATTTTTCTACTCCCGGCACCCCTACCAACTCAGTCTCTGAGGCACGACAACAAATATTATTTAGTCAGACGACTTGAATATAGACCGACCAGGTGATTTCTCAAAAGTGTCTGTAATTGAAAACATAGATTTTTACCTTGTAAATCCACAACCATTCAAATTCAGAGATACCACAGAATATCCCTACTGTTAGATTTGTATGCATGTGTTTGAGATGGCAAGTATTTGGGTCTGAACGCTCATAAGTGACTTTTATGATCTGGAACTAAAAAAGAGACCAGGAGCATTTTAAAGTGAAACCCACATTTATAACAAGATATTGCTCTCACATCATTACACTGATTTTAATGCATGTATGTGGCGGCACACATGTCTTCCCCAGGAGGGTTTCAGGAAGGCTATGAAGATGGTGGGAGAGGAGTTCCTGGACCGTCTGGAGTTCTATCAGTCCTCCTGGCTGCCGGCTCGTGCCGTGGTGGAGGAAGCTGTGAAGGCCAGGCATCAGGTACGAGCCTGTCCAATCTGATGTGTGAAAATGTTTTTCATCCTTTGTGAACTTTGTTACTTTGCACTTGGACTCCAGAAAAATACATTTCTGACACTGTCAAGATTGATTGCTTATTGTTCTTGTCACCTTAACTCTCACTCTGTTTCTCTGAATTGGGAAATAAATGGTGAAATTGTAGGTTAGCATGGAACCAGATAGACATAGATGATGTTGACAAACTCTTATTTGAACCCACTTAAAAAAAAATATATCACTTTTTTCTGGACAATAATTGTTTCAACACAATTTTTTTCAAGGACAATCTGAATATTTGTATAACAGTGAGAGGCTGGTATATCGTGTGTTTTTCTCAAAGACAGACTTTCAGTTCACATTTTCATGTACATTTCCAGGGCAAATTATGTTTTCAATGCCAAGGACTAAAAACTCTATTCTGGCTTATATTCTAGTTATGTTGAGAAACTTTATATTATAAAACTGCAAAGTTTAAGCAAATGTTCTCCAAAGCACCCTAAATTACAGAAAAAAAACAAGTTGTTGCTGCTTTTGTGCTTTATTTCACACACTCTTTTCTGTGTCTCCTCTTTTTACCAGGTGGATCCTAGTGGGGAGGTGGTGTTGTTCTCACAGGGTGGATGTCCGTGGAAGGAGCATCTGTTTTCCCTGGAGAAGGACCTGAAGGTGGAGTCGCCCATCAAGTTTGTCCTTTTCTCCGACCAGAATGGACAGTGGAGGGTCCAGTGCGTCCCCGCCGGGCTCAACACCTTCCAGAACAGGTGATTTAAAAAAAACAAAACAGCTATAAGTGTGAATTCACACAATTTTTCTTTAGTAAAGGTTATTCAAACAACCAGGGTTCCCGCGGGGTCTTAAAAAGCCTTAAAAAGTCTTACATTTGATAATCTGAATTTAAGGCCTTAAAAAGGTCTTAAATATGACCAAAAAAATAAGAAAGGTCTTAAATATGATTTAGAAGGTCTTAAAAATGATCCGATTTGAAAGGTACTTCTCTGTTGCGATATCGTCTAAATGTGTTTTGGGGGAAATGTCCGGGCTGCAAAGTAACCAGTACGGTAATAGTCTTTCAGTTCCCCCCAACCATTTGTATTGAAATAAATCAACATGGAACCAGTATACACTAACTTTGTTTCCCCCGGCCCCTTATCGGAGAACACCCAGCTAGTAACCTAGCAACCAAGCTTCAGCTAACGGCAGTCAGAAACTAATGTATCTTAGAATCTACTTACAAATAAATATGGGGAAGTGTAAGTTCAACCGTATTTGGTTGGAAAACATCGAATTTAGTGCTTGGTTGAAACCAGGGGAGGGGAATGTGTTTGAAGCCCGCTGCACCTTTTGCAAAATAAATTAGTGTTTGTTTGGCTAATGTAGCGTTAGCTAGTGCAGCGTTAGCTAGTGCAGAAGCTCCCGCAACAACACCGGGGGACCTCCGGGCAACGTTTGGGTCTACGTCAACCCTAAAAGCGGAGGTGCTGTAGACGCTAAATACCGTAGTTAAACACCAATCATACAACAGCAACGATGAAAGATTGTAGCCAAGGCAGCAGAGCTCTGAATATAGCTCTTGTTTCTCTCTCTCTCTCTCTCTCTCTCTCTCTCTCTCTCGTCTCTCTCTCTCTCTCTCTCTCTCTCTCTCTCTCTCTCTCCTCTCTCTCTCATCTCTCTCTCTCTCCTCTCTCATCTCTCTCTCTCTCTCTCTTCTCTCTCTCTCTCTCTCTCACACACACACACACGGGCTGCTCGATTATGGCAAACATCATAATCACGATTATTTTGGTCAATAATTGATATCACAATTATTAAATACAATTATTAATTGACTTTGAAAACATCCATTTATTGAACTTTAAAACAAATAATAATTTGGACAGTATCTTTTTAACTGTTGATTACCCTGAGCGTATAATTCAACTGAAAAAATTAATTAAATAAATGATACATTTAAATAAATAATATCAAAAATAATAAATACCAATAAACAAGATCAACAAATATTTTGGAGCGCACTTCCACAAGCTACTAAACATATATAAATATGATAAATAAAAATGAATTAGATCAAATATGTTGTCACAACCTAGCAAAGCAAAATAATCGATTATGTTTCGTAATTGCGATTAAAATACGATTAATTGCACAGCCCACACACACACAGAGACACACACACAGAGACATACACACATACACACTTTTTGACTAACACACTAACACAGTTCTGTACTGTTATGCTGTTATGTTCAGTCATTGTTCTTATGTTGAACATGAATACATTTACTTTGTAAGTAATTATGGGACGTATTTCTTCTTTCATAGCAATTTTCCTTCATACTTTCTTGCCGTGAAATAGGTCTTAAATTCTATTCAAAGTGGTCTTAAAAAGGTCTTAAAAAGGTCTTAAAAAGTCTTAAATTTGAGTTGGTGAAACCTGCAGGAACCCTGAACAACATTTCTGCTTCATCGAGTGCCGCTTGTAATGTGTGCCGAGGCAGCACTTTGCATGACTTACCTTGGCGGAAGTTAGACATTCAGAACTCACAGGGGTGTTGTGACTCTGACTCGGGATGTTCTCCCAGACAAGTGTTTTAAACATTGTGGGAAAATACTGTGAAGGATATGAACTTAACAAACCTTCCCAATGTGTTGAAATGAGCTAACATAAATGCTTATTGCACCATTAAACAACAACTCACGGAGGAATGACATGTCGTCCGGGGAGGGACTAACACCTGCTTGGATAGAGAAGCGTGTTTGTACGACGATTGATAGTTAAGGAAGAGCTTTTGTTCTCACAGTTCTCTCTGAGGATTTGAAATGATGTAAACAAACTCAACAGAGACACCTGAGTCCTTCCTCCACGTTTGCTCCTCCCAATAAGGTGTTAATCTTCTCCTAGTTTTATTTTTTTTGTACAGCCTCATACTTAAGCATACGCCAGATTTTTACGAGGGTGTATTTTACTGAATGTGAGATTCAGTCTCTATCGAACAACAGAGTATCTTCAGTTATATATTCCCCATTGTCTCCTCACAACCCTCTTTATTAGCAGGATATAGGCCGTTCTGAAGTTACACAAGAACATCATTGAACTTAACAGTAGTTTAAAAAGTATCTGATAGACTAGATGAATTTTATGTGCTCAACAAGAATATTACAATTCATCCTGACGGGAACATAAATGTGGATACCATATTCAACAGCTAAATCATTTCACTAAAAAGCTTACGTGTCAACCTCATGGGTGTGCTAAAGGACAGTCTGGGGGTCTCTTAAGCAAGTAAGATTCATCCGTCATTAATGTTTCTCCAAAATTGAATCACAATCTATCATATTCATCCATCAGATATCCACCATATCTGTTGAGATATTCCAGTCTGCACTAAAGTGGTGGACCCATGGCTAAAAAGTGCTTTACTTTGAACATTTTAGGCAATCTCTGATAATGAACTCTTTTGTCTTAGTCTTGTTTGTTTTCCTTACCTTAAATGATTGTTATTGTTATCCTTCTCATGGTCTTTTAAACTTGTAATGCATTTTACGCCCTATGTAATGTAAGCTTAATCAATGTGCCTTGTGCACAACCTTGCGTCTTTTGTGGACCATTCCTGCATCTTCTAGAAATAATGAGCTCTCTCCAACCCTCAAGCCTTTTTCTTTAGTAAAAGATGCCCCGTACATACTCATTAAATCACATCAGTGTTCTTGCCTTGCCACTCTGTACATAATGACAGTAATGAGAAGACAAAGACCCTCTGTGAATTTGTCGGATGGTTAACACACTTCAAGTGTGTGTGTGTTACCTCTGGAGAGGAATTGTTTACCTGGTTAGCCTCTCGCCCTCCGACCCACAACGCTGCTCTGCTAACGTCATCAGCATCCCCCCCTGGAGTTCTGGAGTTCATTTGTTGTCTGACTAAATCCCAGCATACATCACACATTATGAATATGGAAACAAATTAAACTGCGGAGATTCTCGTCTTTCTGGCGGCTTGCATTACAGCATTCTACATTGAAGCAATCCAGAAAACACATTCTAATTTTGACACTGACCAGAAGATCCATCAGCAGCCATGTGTTTTCATGCTGGATTGAATTCATAGGCTGATAAATGTGTGATTATTTGTTCTGTTTGATGTTGTTCCCTGCCTCTCAAAGTGGTACGAATGGGTCTTAATCACCAGTTACTGAGGTGAAATAATATTAGTATTGATTAGAGATGAACAATATAGTCCAAGGATCAGCTTAGAATTGTTCATTTGGTCACGGCTAAAACATGGAACGATTGTTGTTTTTTAAGTTTAAAAAAAGGGTGCCTTTTGAGTGACTCTTTTCTCCTAATTTTATTTTAATTTCATTACATTTTCAAATTGTAGGTCACAGGTTGTTGATGGTGAATTGGGCTTTTACTTAAAGTTAATGAGCTTCTTCCTTATCAGCCAACACAAGGTGACATTTTTAAATGTGTCTTCTAATCCTTGCATAACTTGCAAATAACCTCCGGCACACTATTTAAATTGCAAATAATATATGTATGTGTTATTTGAGTCTTGGACCTTTTTGGCAAGTTAGACAGTGAGTGGCTTATTTGAAAATGTTGATCTAAACTGTGTTTATCTGCTCTTAGCATTTAGATACTTGAAAGTGTAGAAAGATAATAACAATCTGAGGGATTTGAAAGGATTCTGATTCAATATTTGATTTATATTCAGAAACTAACTTCTCTTTGAACAAGCTTATAAGAAACACTAAACACTTTGTATGCAGCATGTTCAGCAGACGTTCAGGGTCATTCAATTCTGTAGAAAATAATAAATTGGCCTCTACACAAAATGAAATGAAATGTCAGACATCGTAACTCACAATAGTTATTTTTCCCCCTTAAGAACAAATCAGGTGGGTGAATTATTAAAATGGCAGTTTTGTTCCCATCATAACACCACATCTTGATGATTTTTATTGAATGCCGGTTCAGCCAAAGGGAAAGTTGAATATAAACTGTAGTGGTTTATATAAAAGAAAGCTCCTTTGACAATTCATCAATATAATTCTGTTTACAGACTCAATTTTAATTTCCTGGAATCAAGGCAAAAACGGTTAGTAGAAACTCCCCTGAGAAAACACATAGTGAAAATCCATTATAAATAATCTAAGTTAATTAAATCCCCTTACCTTTTCCCGATACATGAACCTGGAGCAGTTGAACTTATCACACTAGTGTTTGCTCAGTGTTCTCCTGTATGTACTAACCTCTGTGACAAATGCATTGTGTGTCCCGTGGCTGCTAAAAATAAAGCTCAACAGGAAGCACTCGGTTAGCATTATCAGTTACTTAAAGCAGCGTTGATACCGCAGGAGGAGAGTGAACCGTAAACAGATATTTCAGACTCAGCCACTTACAATACAAACTCCTATATAGAGAATACATTGAATGGGTGTTATACAAACAGTATCAAATAATGTGTCTTTGAGTTTCTGAAAAATATAAAGGAATGTTATTTTATGCTCGTTCTGATTCTTCACACAGTATTTCTACTAAAGCGGCATCTGTCTTTTTAGTATGGTGCCGTCTGTTGAAAGTCTCTTACGCTGAGATTGTTTTTTTTGTAAGGGAATTTTCCGTATTGGAATCAAAGGTCTTAAAAGAATCTTTCATATGTTTTACAAATTGTGAAGCCCTCTGAGATATAAGTGACTTTGGTCTATAAATCAAATGGACTTACAGATGTGATATTTCAGATGACTTCATGCTGTGTATGTG